TTTCTCCCTTCCAGCAAGCAAGCTCACAAACCTCACCAAGGAATGCAAATCACTGGTAAGTTCGGCTGTAGCTTCACAGGCGGACCTGTCACACATCATAGGAAAAATGACAGCTGCCAAGGCTGCAGTTTTCCAAGCCCCTCTCCATTATCGGGCTCTCCAACACCAAAAGACCCGTCTAGACTTACTAAGTGTCCCATTCAGCCAGAAAAGGAAACTGGATTCAGAATCCCTTTTAGACCTATAGTGGTGGGTAGTCAACCTAACCAAGGCAAACTGCAGATACGTGAAACCTCTCCTTCCAGACCTAGTTATCCAATCAGATGCGTCGGGGACGGGTTAGGGGGCAGTATGTCAGGAAACGAGGACACGGGGAACCTGGTCTCTAAGAGAGTCAACCCTCCACATCAACTGTCAGGAGCTGCTAGCAGCGACGTATGCTATCAAAGCCTTCACAAAAGCTCGGTGCAACATACATGTCTTGATTCAAATAGACAACACCTCAGCAATAGCATATGTGAACAAAATGGGGAGTGCAAAGAAAGGGGTATTAGACARTCATGCACGCATGCTATGGGACTGGTGTCTGTCGCGCAAAATCACCTTGCGAGCAGAACACCTGCCAGGTCGCTTGAATGTGACTGCGGATGCAGAGTCTCGAGCCAAACCCGATGCTGCGGACTGGAGACTGGACACAAGGTTGTTTCAGACCYTCAATCAACTTTTCGGTCCATTTACAATCGACCTTTTTGCCAACAGAAACAATGCACAGATGGATCGTTTTTACAGCTACCTTCCGGACCCAGAAGCGGAACAATTCTATGCACTCATTCAGCCATGGAAAGGGGAGAATTGTTATGCATCATCTCCGTTCAATCTGATCAGCAAATGCCTCAGAAAGATAAGCAACGAAGGGGCATCTGTACTTCTGATATGCCCAGTATGGGCTGCCGAGACATGGCACCCACACCTCCTGAGCGTACTGGTTTGCAACCCAGTCATGTTACCCTGTCATCAGGACCTCCTAACAGACCCTCTGGGCAACCATCATCCACTAGTCAAAAACAGCTCCTTGGTCCTGGCAGGATGGAAGGTCTCAGGCATCAGTTCTCAACAGAGGGAATATCTGAGAACACTGCAGACATTCTCCTGTCTGCCCAAAGAGTGTCAACAAGGGCTCAGTACAAGTCTTGCTGGTCAAAATGGAATTGCTGGTGTGCTAAGAGACAAAGTAATCCCTTTCGACCACCTGTGAAGGATGTTTTACATTTCCTCACAGAGTTATTTGATCAAGGTAAGCAGTATGCTACTATCAATACTTACCGATCTGCTATAAGCTCTACGGTACCTCATATAGAAGGTGCCCCAATAGGTCAGCACAGGCTAATTTGCAAGTTTATGAAGGGTGTGTTTWACAAAAGGCCTTCAAAACCCCGGTACTCTCAAACATGGGATGTTTCTAAAGTGACCGTCTTGTTTGAAACTTGGCCTGATAATAGTGCCCTTGACCTTAAACGTTTGTCTAAAAAGTGTGCTATGCTTTTAGCCCTTACAAGTGCAAAACGTCAGTCTGATCTACATGCCATAGATCTGAATTTTATGAGATCTTTACCTGAAGGAGTTGAATTTAAGATCCCCGGTTTGACTAAAACTAGAGCCCCAGGGAAAGATGTTACCTTTTTCTTCCCTGCCTTTAGAGATAAGGCTAAGCTGTGTCCAGTGTCGTGTTTAGAAGAGTATATTAAACGGACACAACGTCACCGGTTGCACAATGCTAATGATCAACTGTTTTTGTCAGTACAAAAACCTTTTACTGCTATTTCTACAGCATCTATTGGGAGATGGTTGAAGGACGTCCTAAAGGAGGCAGGAGTAGATACGTGTGTCTTCAAGGCACATTCCACAAGGAGTGCGTCTACGTCTTCAGCGAGAAGAAGTGGAGTTTCGGTTCAGGACATTTTGAATGCTGCAGATTGGTCTAGAGAGACAACATTCAATCGCTTCTATTATCGCCAGACTTATTCAAGCTCTTTTGGCAGAGCAGTCCTGTCATAGGTCAGTAGCTTTGAACGAGACCAATTAGTGAATTCTGAGTGCAACATGTTATAGAATTGAAGATTGTGCTAGGCTACAAAGTAGCTGAAGTACAATCAGAATTCTATTATTGTTGCACGAAGAATTCACTAATCTACCCTTCCCTCCCTCCCACATGACATTCCTGCTCTGCAAAGCCTATTCGGTTTTCTTCATTCCTTTATTAGATGAGGTTATATATAACCTTACTTTATTCTGTCCTCAGGTGGTTGACAGATTGGACATTTTGACATTACTGGACGTCACATTTTTGTTATTGTTGCAATAAACATTTCATTTCATCATTTGTGTGTATTTAATTGTGACTGATATAAGTTCAAATGGCCACCGTCCTAGTTTACGTGCATGGCCTTATGGGATGCTCTTTCCATATATGGACTAGTGGTCCTTATTTAGCCGCTAGTTTCGCGCTCTTTTTCTTTAATAAATAAATAAGCTTTTAATGACTTTGGTTTTTAGTTAGTTATGGCCAAGACCAATTAGTGAATTCTTCGTGCAACAATAATAGAATTCTGATTGTACTTCAGCTACTTTGTAGCCTAGCACAATCTTCAA